TGTCTTTTACACTGTTTGTACACCCTTGTTGAATCCCCTTGTCTACTCTCTGAGGAATGAAGATGTTAAATCAGCCCTACGGAAGTTGAGAAACCATCGTGTGAAAACCTGGACAAACTAGGAATTATCAAGGAGTATCATCCTGAACTTATAAAATAAAGAGCCTCCAATGGATCACTACATTATGCCAATTATCTTTTCTAGTGATATGGGTTATCAAGTTATAGAATTGGTTTTTGTCCTAAATGCAAGGGAATTCCATAAAATTAATTGCTGGTTCTATTCAAGTATAATTTTAACTGTTTTCCCATTGTTTATAATTCTAGGAACAAACTATCTTCAAATATTTAAAAATGGTAAATATTTACTGGTTCTAGTATGCATAAAAATTATTCATGTTTCTCAACTTGTGATTATGTTCTATGGAACATATTTTTATAACTTGCAATCCAAATGTACAAGCAGGTTGAATTTTTTTCCCTTCACTCAATTTATTAACATTGTTATAATATATGAGAAACATAATATTTTACAGCATGAATATTACCTCATTGGTATAGATTTCTTATATTCTTTTCTTTGTTGAATATTTTCACTATTCATAATTTTCCTCTATAATACTTCACTTCCATAATTATTTTTGTTTTCTGTTTTTTGTTATGCATTTCTACTTATTACAAGTCTTTTTATAGTATTTGGTGCCATGAACAAATACATATCTATTTCTCAAGTCTAATTATTTTAAAAATGAGATAAATTAGTTATGATGAATTCCATATGACTCACAGAAAACTGCAAATATCTTTGAAATTATTTGCTAATATAGCAGATATTTAATATTTAAATTAAAAGAAAAATTCTATATGTGTATAAAACATACACATGTGCAAAGTGATAAATTATTTGCAACTGAGAATTAAATCTAAAATTATTTATTTGTATGTCTTTGAAAATAGAAGAAATAAAGTAAAATTATTGTACGAGGAGTTTTTTAAAATGTGCATTATGAAAAAAACTATGGATGGATTTCAAAGCTTTTTGCACCAATATAAACTTGTCACTTAATTTTCCTTGAACTTTTATTTATTTTCTTTTCTTTTTCTTTTTATTTATTAATATTTTTGGAGAAATTTTTGCTATAGGGCACATGCACTTGTCAGAGAGACAAAGAGATAGAACATGAGAAAACACCCCTGAGAAGGTTGGCCATGCTGCAATCCCTTCTTTTCCACTGTCCTCTCAGGATTTTGGGCATACATGCATATGTGCCTGGCATTAGTTTCAAGCTGTTGCTCTGGGACTCGAACTGTGGTTGGCCATGTGGGAATCCAGTGATGTAATTATTATGCCATCTACTGGTCCCTTTCTTGAACTTTTAAAAGTCTTCTTGAGCTTCTATTAATAAAAGTCAAAGGCATCTATTAAGTATTATTTTGTAATTAGCCAAATGTTTTCTTATATAGCTTGCCCTGAGATTTGCATTATAAAAAAGAATCTTTGGAACAGAAAGACTAAATGTTAACAATTTTAAAACACTACTTTGAAAAATAGAAAGCTTGCAATTGTCTTCACTATGGGTTCATTTTTTAATTGTACTACAAGACATAGCAAGTGGTTATGTGCATAGATATTTACTGTGCATGATAAGTCATAGGGTAAGCTAAATTTTAGATTTAGATACACTGTTTTGTTGACTCATCCTATTTTGGTGGGTTTTTTTTTTCTTTCTTTCTTTAACTTCCGACTTCTGGTGAACTTTACTTGTATGATGTCATACTTAGCAATGATCTTATAAATTTGACTACCTGTTATATATTTTTATACACTGCTAAAAGCATTTTAGAGATGCAACAAATTTAAGAGCAGTTATTATATTGTTAGTAGTATTTTTCTTCTCTCTCTCACCTGCCAGTGAAAGTGGAGAGGCATTGATTGTGCACCTGAAAAATCAGGTCATTTCACTGCTCTGATCTTTAGTATTTTCAGATGTAAAATGAAGTCATTAATAATAACTATTTCATAGGCACTAATGTGAGTGTATGAGATATAATGGAAATAGAAAGACTTTGGTACATGAAAACCTTATAAAAATAGTATTACTATTATCTTTGTAATAGTACTAAATTCTCTAGACATCAAGGTAGATATAAATTCTGTGCAGGTAGACTTTTGCTACTTCTGCCTGTCACGTAATCTAAATTGATGGTGCATGTGTTCCCTCCTTGTACCAATTATTTTTTTCTATCTTATTAAAATGCACAACTCAGGACCAGCAGTTGGTGTAATGGCTATGTCACTGGACTCCCATGTAGCCGACCACGGTTCAAGTCCCAGACCTGGTGGCTTAAACTCATGCCGGGCGCGTGTGCATGCGTGCCCAAGATCCCAAGAGGAGAATGGAGGAGAAGCGATTGTGGCAAGGCCATCCTCCCTGGGGAGTGATTTCTCGTTTTCTATCTCTCTGTCCCTCTCTGTCTTTCTGGTGAGCGCACAAGCCCTATAGCAAAAACCTCTCCAAAAAAAAAAAGCACAGCTCTAGATTTAATTTTTATTTTGTTCTGTTTTGTTTTGTTTTGTCTTAGGTTTTAGCCATTGGGCACATGCACTTGCTGGAGAGAGACAAAGTGAGACATAAAGAGAGAAAGTAAGAAATAACACCCACCCCACCCCACCTCCCAGCTGGGATGGTCATGCTGCAATGCCTTCTCCTCCATTTTTTCTGGAGATTTTGGACATACACTCAAATGCAGCCTGACATGATTTTTCGAGCCATGGGTCCAAGACTCAAACTGCAGTTGACGATGTGGGAATCCAGTGTTTAACCACCACACTACCTGCTGGCCCTAAATTTAGAATTTTGTAGTGATCATTTACTAGCAACAACTTAAAATTAAATCTGGCCTATAACAATAAAATAAACATGTAATATGCACAACATCCTTTCTCAGGATTTTACAATTATGAATTAATATTTTTGTCACAACCTTAAAAAATCAACTAAGCCTAAAATTAAACAAACATAAAAAATTAATTGAAAGTGAATTGTAGGTATAGAATTGACTGGATTGAAGGATGCCTAAAAGACTGGTGATGCATTATTTCTAAATAGGTCTGTAAGAATGTTTCTCCTCAATATTGGCATGTGAGTCAGGAGGCTGAGAGAGGACTTGCCTTTGGTCTAAGTAGACATCATCCATTCAACTGGGAGCATTTGTGGGACAGTAAAGTGGAGGTTTTGTTTCCTCTTTTTCTCTCAACCTTTCCTTCCAGAGAATCCTGTGTGTTCCACTACTGCAGACCACTTGCTCCATCCCTGCTCTGCAGCTCGACCTTTGAGCTCATTTGTTTCTAATGGTTTGGGGCCCTGCACCCCTGCAGTCTGACAGTCTCTAGTTTGTTGACCTTTGGGCTCTGAACTCATAAAGTGCTCAGACCTACAGCTTCCTGGAGGCCGTATTAATCCCCAGGAACTGCATCTGGCTCCATTGCTTCTGAGACTTTCAACTTTCTCCAGCTTTTCAGATAGACTACTGTGGGACTTCTCCTTGTGATCATGTGAGAAAACTCCTATAATTCATCCCTTATTTTGTGTATATGTTTATCCTGTTGGTTCTTTTTCTCTATAGAACCTTCACCAACACAATTAAAATAAAATGCAGACTTTGATGAACATCGTAGTGAAAAGAACACACTATAGAAATGAGATAGAAAATTTTACTCATGTTTAGAGTCAAAAAGATATATGGAAAGAAGAGTAGATTTGGACGTAAATGTTTAGATGGTATGTTAGTTTCCTAGGGCTGCTATGCAAATGGCTTTAAAATGGGTGGCTTAAAGCAAATACGTCTCACAGTTATGGAGATTAGAAGTTCAAAATCAATGTGATGACAGTTAGGTTATGAGGGAAAAATGGTCCTGGTCCTGGTCCTGTGATGGTTGTTTTTAGGTGCCAATTTGATTATGAGAGATACACATATATCTGATAAAAAGTCATTTTTTGTGTGTCTATAAGGGTGTTTCCAAAAGGGAGAAGCATTTGAAACAGTAAAGTGAGTAAAGAAGATTCTCCCTTACTGGGATGGGCAGGCATCATCTACTTAATCCCTTGAGAGCGCAGATACAGCAAAAGGAACAGAAAAGATAAATTCTCTTTCTTTTTGATCTAAGACATCATTTTCTTCTGTCTCTGATTCTTGGCCTTCAGACTCTAGACACATGTATTAGAACACTTGACTTTTCCACTTTTTCATTGTTTAAAAATACTTTTCTCCTATGTGCTCATATTAAGATTATGACATATAGAAATGAAACATATTTAAAGTACACATAAAAGAGAGGAAAAAGTGAAATTATAATCACCCTTCCATTTTTGTGAGTTCTACATCCAGCAACTAAACCAATTTCAGACCAAAACTATCTACAAAAAATAAATTTAAAAAATACAGGGGCCAGCAGTTAGCGTAATGGCTATGTCGCTAGACTCCCATGTAGTCAACTGCGGTTCAAGTCCTGGATCCAGTGGCTTAAACTCAAGCCAGGCACGTGTGCGTGTGTGCCCAAGATCCCAAGAGGAGAATGGAGGAGAAGGGATTGTGGCGTGGCCATCCCCCCTGGGGGGTGATTTCTCGCTTTCTATCTCTCTGTCTCTCTGTGTCTTTCTGGCGAGTGCACGTGCCCTATAGTGAAAACCTCTCCAAAAAAAAAAAAAATACATACAACAATAAAAAAAAGTAACACAATTGAAGAACACAGGGGAGACACCAGAAGGAGGCATCGTGGTTAAGGGACTGGACTCCCACGTGGCCAACTATGATTCAAGTCCTGGACCTGGTTGCTTGATTTCTCACTTTCTCTCTTTCTCTCTCTGTCTCTCTCTGCTGAGCACATATGTCCTGTAGCAAATTAAAAGTAATAATAATAAAATTAAATAATTCTTTTTAAAAACATGGTAAAATAACTGTAACTTTTATATTATGCTAGGTATTGTAAGTGATCTAGAGATGACTGAAGAATATGGGAGAGGGACGTGCAATGACCTATTGGTTACATTGTTGGTATCCCACGTAGTTGACCATGATTTGAGTCCCAGTCTGGTGACTTAAAACTCATGCCAGACAGGAGAATGAAAGAGAAGAGATTGTGGTGTGGCCACCTATGCTGGGGGATACTTTCTTGCCTTCTGTTTCTCTGTCTCTCCAGCAAATGAATGCACCCTATAGCAAAAATCTCTCTAAAAACAAACAAATCTCACCTTGGGCACATGTGTATGCATGCCCAAAATCCTGAGAGAAGAATAAAGAAGAAGGAACTGCAGAGAAATCACCCCATCTAGCCCAGAGGGATGGATTCTCGCGTTCTGTATCTCTGTCTCTCTGGTGAACATAGGCATCCTATAGCAAAAATCTCTCAAAAAAGAAAAAGAAAATAAATGAGAGGATGTGTGTAGGTTAGTTGCAAATACTGTATCATTTTGTACAAGGGACTTGAGCATCTGTGGTCCTAGAACCAATCTTCCATGAATCCCAAGGACTTGTTGGTGGAGCTTCTCACTGTACTATAAAATATATAATGCTTAGATTATGTGAGAGCCTTCAAAAAGTTTATGGAAAATACAAGCTATGAAAAACTGCATAGATTTCAAAATTGTTTACACCAAAAGAGACTTGTACTTAAGTACCATTTTTCTATGAAATGTTTGAATTTCTCTTTTAGTATTATATATAATACACATTTAATTTAATTAATTCATATGTAATAATAATATAGTGTTAATATTATTTTGATGAAGACTGCGACAAGGGAGAGATTATTAAAAGAGGGCAACTGTAGTTGTAAGATTCTGGGTCAGTCTTTTCCTCTTGTGATAAATGCTTTACCTGCACTTAGAGGTGAACAATATAAAAATTCTCATTGCCTTTTTTTGTGAAAAGTAACCAATGTTAATAACTCCCATAGCAAGATGACATAATTATTAGAAAGGACACTTTCCAATTGGCTGTTGCAGTCCAGGGGATTGGTTGTCTGATATTTGGGGACACGAAGATATGGTATTTAAACATTTGTTTTATGGACTTTTGTGACTCACTTAAAAATGTGTTTTAGAAGCTCTTCTTCAACCTGTTGTTGCTCCCCTAGGATTCTCTCAAAATTGGTAAGTGGGACTTAATCACATCAAACTAAAGAACAAATATAGATACTGCAACTTAGAGGTTGAAGAGATTCTGAGCTTAAATTATTATTAAAGCCAAAATAGCCAAGGTTCTTGAGCATAAGTACTTTAGTTTGTATGTGAGATGTTAGAATCTGAAATAAAATATCAAATTATTTCTAAATACTGTGACTATTAGCACAAGTGATGGAGTGAAGCACCGAAGTAAAAGTACTCATGTTGACATATGTAGTTCAGAAAGAAAAGAGATGACAGTAGAGAATAGAATGAGACAATTGTCATTTTTAAGATGATGGACTTCGTCAGATGTACATTCTCAGCAATTGGGCCTTTCATTAGTTGCTGTATACTAGTGAAATATGTGTTTTTTGGGTATGAAACCCCTGTTAACTATCACTGTGTCCTGTGTGTGACACTAATTTCACTGCTAGAGCTTACTTGCACTGTTTACAAAATTACCTCCTTCATAATATGGTAAGAATAAATAAGATAATGCATGGATCTTTAGCACTGTACTTGCACAAATTTGACTAAGAAAATACTGCTATCATTTTGATTAACAGACCTTTCCTCCCAGCAGTTTACAAATACAGAATGTCATGATTTGATGTTTTTCACATTGAAGAGCTCAGAGTTTTTATTCTTTTGCATACTCTATCAAAGATGCACATATATTTACATACTTATCGGTCACATATCATTGCAAGGAAACTAAATCCAGTCTTTAACACCCAAAAACTTTTACATCATTCAATTAATTGTCTACACAATTGGAAGGGAATTTCCTTCAATAAACATGGTAATCTTCATTGACAGATGTCTCTTCTTTCCCATATCTTTAGTTGACACTCTTCATGTCTGATATTTCCAGTATGATCACCAAGACTTTTAAATTACTGTACTTAAAAATTTGAGCTGGGTAAGCTAGAGTTTGACCCAAAAGAGAAGCTTTTACGATTTGACCTCCTGCTTTTCTAGTTTGTTTCTTTCTTCCTGCTTGAGTGGAATGCTTTTAGCTGGACCTCCTGGCTCAGTCAAATTAATTATTGCTGAGTCCAGAGAGTACTCTATATAAATTTCTCATTCTCTTTTAATGGAAAACTGATGATGTTTAGTTTATTGTTAGCTTAAATAGAGACCTACAATTGCTTTCCAAAGTCAGTGACCAAGAAAAGATTAACCCTGGGATACCCTGATGTCAAAGGCAGGACACTATTTGGGACCAGCAATGGCATATGGTTACATCACTGGACTCCTACATAGTGGACAGAGGTTCAAATCCCAGATCTGGTGGTTTGAAATCCAATGCCAGTTGTGTGTGCATGCATACCCAAAATCCTGAGAGGAGAATGGAGGAGAAAGGATTGTGGCATGGCCATCCTCCCTGGGGGGTGATATCTCCCTTTCTGTCTCTCTGTCTCTTTGAGCACACATGTCCTATAGTGAAATTCTCTCTTAAAAAACAAAAATACATAACATTTTTAAATGACAGGGCACTATTTGACTAAAATAGAAATTTAGATTAAGAAAAATGTTTGAAATCTGAAGCAGATGTAATATTGTAACAACAAAGAATGTCTTCTTCTCTTTCCCAATGATATGTATTTGGAATGTAATTCTAGCTCCAGTTTATACCAATTCTTTTCTTTTACGGATTAGAACTGATAAACTCAAGACAAAGTAACCGCAGGTGAATACAACTGTCAAAAATGGTATGGCCTATCTTCAGTATCTTCTTTCCTTTTTGTCAGATTTTCATTCCACTACTTGAATAAATTATATATTTATTGTAGAATAAATTACTCTAATATTTTATTTTATTTTTGGTCTTTTGAAAGTCTCAGAGATTGTTCATCTTTTCAGAATCAGAACTTTTCCCATTCAGATTGGCTTTACTTACATGAAAGTTAATTTTTTAATGTAATTTTTAGTTATAATAGTATGCTAACATAAGTAATATTTATCACTTTGTAATTAATATATCTCTTTCAAATGCACACTATCATAAGCAAGGAATAGAAAATTCAGAGAATTGTGGTGAATTGCATGAGGATGTGCATCTCTCCTGCTTTGCTCATCATCATAACTCTGAGCCAACAAAGTGCTTAGCACATAATTACTGTAGTACTCAACAAGCTGAAATGACTGAAGAAAGTCATGACTAATAGTAAGAGGTGAAGCCAGGAATTAAATACACATCTTCTGATCTCTCTTTGTGGCATTCTGTGTAAGTTTTCATTTTTTGCCTTTCCACGAAGACTGGCTGATTGCACAACCATGAATAAGAATATGATTATCAAAACCACCAGATGGCATAACAGTTACACTGCTGAACTCCAACATAGCAGACCGTTGTTCAAGTCCTGGACCTAGTGGCTTTAAAATCACACCAGGGGGGGAACCAGCAGTTAGCGTAATGGCTATGTCGCTGGACTCCCACGTAGTCGACCGCGGTTCGTGTCCTGGACCCGGTGGCTTAAAACTCACGCCGGGCGCGTGTGCGTGCGTGCCCAAGATCCCGAGAGGAGAATGGAGGAGAAGGGATTGCGGCGTGACCATCCCCCCTGGGGGGTGATTTCTCGCTTTCTGTCTCTCTGTCTCTCTCTGTCTGTCTGGCGAGCACACGCGCCCTACAGTGAAAATCTCTCTCAAAAAAAAAAAAAAAATCACACCAGGGGCATGTGCATGCATGCCTAAGAACCCAGAAGGAGAATAGAGAAGGGATTGAGGTGTGGACATCTCCCTTGGGGGGGGTAATTTCTCTCTTTCCCACCCACTGTCTCTGTCTCTTTCTATATATCTATCTGGCAAGTGCATGTTCCCTAAGACAAAAACCTCTCCAAAAAAAAAAAAAAAATGGAAAGGAATATATACTATCTTTTACTATGGAAAAAAATACAATGTTTTTAGAGACCTTCTATCTGGAGTTATAGAACTAAGTAAGTCAATTCAATTAAAGTAACTAGACAGTGCCAGCCTCATAGCCTAAACACTAAGGGAGCTGGATCCTTCATGGTCAACTGCAGTTCTAATCCCATCTGCAGCAGCTTGAAAAACACATTAGACATGGGTGCAAGCATGTTCCAAATCCTGACAGCATGAAGAAGTGGAGAAGGAACTGCAGGCTGACCACGCCCCATGGAGTGCTTTCTTCCTTTCTTTCTCTCTTTCTCTGGTGAGCATGTGTACTCTCTAGCAATAGAACATAATAGTAATTGTAGACAAAGTGGAAAACTAGTTTAATATATTTGTCACTTTGCAAACCCTTGTCAGGCCTTGTATACATATAGAATGATGTTATTCATTTATTTTTAAAATTTGTTTTATACATTCAATCACTGCATATCATTTGGCTAGTAAAGTAAATTTACCCAGCACAAGTATGCTTCATACCAGTCCAGTTGAGGATACTACAATAGGATGATGATTTAAGAGACTCAAGAGTCTAAACCTCTCCAAAGGACCATTTTTATTTTTTTTAATACTCTACATTTTAAAGTTATGCCATGAAAAAAAAAAAAAAACAAAAACAAAAAAAAACAACCTCTTTACTGTTTAGTGTGTCTACAGACATATAGGTAGTTCTTCCTAGATTCTGAGATCTGGCCAATTCTATTTGAAAGTTTATTCCTGGAGTTTACAGATTGCTTCAATTTTGTCTTGAATGATAAAAATAGCATCATACATTCATACAAAAATAAATAATTTCTTTCAAGTTCTTTATGAGCAAGAATTTGGAAAGCTATTTTCTGTTCATATTTTATTAAAATTTTTTAAAAGCTAGTTTTTAGTCTGTGTTTTCTTTTTAAGATTGAATTTATACTTTTCTAAAATTATTAACGTATTTAACCCAATGAGGCAGAATGTTATTTTTAAAAGCTGATTTGGGGTCAGATGGCGATGTGGTGATTAAAGCAGCTTGATTTCACATGGCCGACTGTGCAGAGTCCCGGAACTAGCTACTGGAAAACACACTAGATGCTCATGTGTGTGCTCAAACTCCCAGAAACAGAAAGGAGGAGAAGGGATTGCAGTGTGGCCATCAACTCTGGGAGATTCTTTTTTTCTTTCCTTCTCTCTCTTTTTCTCTCTCTCTCCATGAGTACACTCATCCTATATCATTTTTTTCTAATTGCATTTTTTCAAAATTTGTATTTTAAAAAAGCCAGTTTCCCATGTCAAGTCTATAAGTTAAAAACTAAATTTCAATTCAACTAATGGTTAATAAACTTAGAAAAACTATATTGATGTTTCTCAAGAGAGTACTATTTTACATAAATAAATTATTGCACATGCTCCCTATTCCTTTTGCTTGAAGTGTAATTCAAAAGGACTTGCTTTTCTTTTACCTCATTTTTCTAAATATTAACCTGCTTAGTGAGGCTTTTTCTGAAAACTGGTTATAGTCCATATTCATTTATTCTGTTTTATTTTCTCCATAGAATTCATCGCTGACATATCATATGTTTTGTTTCTTTATTTTTAATCGCCTCTGTCAGTCCCATCACCTTCTTAATATGTAGCTACATGAAGATGGGACAGACCCTCCACCCTGCCTTTTTTAATTGTCTTGTCTCAAGAGTCTGGGAGCATGTAGTATACAAGAGACAATATTTATTTGTTGAATGAATTAGCTACATCTGAGATGCTATTCAACAGACTTTGGGAAACACTTTGTTATCATAATGTTAAAGGGTATCATTAGAGGAAAGAGGTTGTAAAATCATCAGAAAGATAGTACAAGTACAAATTTAATTAGTAAATATACCATGCTAACTAAAATTGCATTCACTCCCATCTTAGTAACAGATAGCTAATCAGATTAAATAGCATCAAATTCAACTTCATATGGGAAAATCATATTGAGAAGGGTAAGGAGTACAATCATGAAAATAAAAGAATAATTTTTGACTAAAAAGAACATATACTTCTGAGGTTCTAGGAAGACACTTCTTTCACAGCTAGATCATCTATATCATTGCAATAAACTTTTAATTATTTTCATGTAGAAAGATGAATGCAATATCTTGCTCAGACCAGCATAACTTGTCATAAATTTATTCCTCTTTATTGTTCTCACTACAGCTACCTCAAAAGCATGGCCACATCCAACCCCTTCCTCTGATGTCATTTCCACAGTTACCAGGCTGGTTTACATCCTGTTAAACTTGACCTAAATTTTCTCTCCCACCAAGACTCTATAAAAGGCACTAGAATTATTTTCAACAATTCATAATCTGAATGTGTAAGTATAGTATTCATGGCTTGCAAAGTATTATTGAGATCTTCTTCACTTCTACAAAAATATGTTGGAATACAATAGCCAATGCTGCTGTCTCTCACCTTCTTCTTTCCAGATAGACTTATCTGTTATTTAAATAAATCTTTCAATTCATCATCTATTATCAATCCATAAATGAAAAAATAAAGAATAAGTCATGTAATTATCTGAGAATAACAGGGAAAATAAGAATTTCTAACAATGATGTGAACACTTATTGTCTTATAGCCTTATCATAGTATTTTTATATTTATTAGAATTGAAGCACCCATTTCATTTCTGAAATGGTGAAAGGCTTATTCTTATGTTATCTTTAATATTTTTCTTCCTTCCAGATAACTTCAGCAGTCCATATTCCGTTAATGGATGGAGCAATGAATCAGTGGTTACTGAATTCATTTTGCTGGGCCTATCCAGCTCTCGAGAAATCCAGCTCTTCCTTTTCTTTATCTTCTCTGTGTTTTATGGAGCTGCAGTGCTGGGAAACCTCCTTATCATCCTCACAGTAATTACTGACTCTCGCTTGCATTCGCCAATGTACTTTCTCCTCAGCAATCTCTCCTTCATTGATGTGTGCCAGGCTACCTTTGCCACTCCCAAGATGATTGCAGATTTCCTCAGTGAACATAAGACCATCACTTTCCAAGGATGTATGTCACAGATCTTTTTCTTGCATGTTTTTGGAGGTAGTGAGATGGTGCTCCTGGTTGCCATGGCCTATGATAGATACATCGCTATTTGCAAACCTCTGCACTACATGACCATCATGAGCCGAAGGGTGTGCACCGTTCTGGTGGGGGTCTCCTGGACCATTGGCATCCTGCACTCAGCCAGCCATCTGGCATTTACAGTCAATCTGCCTTTCTGTGGACCCAACAAGGTAGATAACTTTTTTTGTGACCTCCCCCTAGTGATCAAGCTGGCCTGCTTAGACACCTATGTTTTGGAGATCCTGGTGCTCACCAACAGTGGCCTGCTCTCGCTTATTTGTTTCCTCCTTTTGCTCATTTCCTACATTGTCATTCTTGCTACTGTCCATCACCAAGCCCCTGGTGGGATGTCTAAGGCACTCTCCACCCTATCTGCCCACATTACTGTTGTGGTTCTGTTCTTTGGTCCGTTAATCTTCATCTATATTTGGCCCTTTGAAAGCTTTCCAATTGATAAGTTTATTTCTGTGTTTTTCACTGTCTTTACTCCTCTCCTTAACCCTGTAATTTACACTTTGAGGAATAAAGATGTAAAGGAAGCCATCAAGAAGCTAAGGAGTCAACATGTGCATTCCAAGCAGGTTTTTTAAAGAATTACGAGGAAGTAATACAAACACATACTTCTTCACTGTTGTAATGAACATATATCATTGTTATTCTTGTGTGTCTAATTTTCATCATTAGTCATTTACTATCGGAGGGCCCAAATCTTAAAAGCTAAAGTTGAAAAATGCAGAACAGATTCTCATAGATTCTCATAGCAATTACAAGATTCCATATCTCACCCCATGTTTCTTTAAACTGTAACTGCATATCTTAAACTTCCTCAGTTATTTTTCCCTTATATATTTCTCCACTGTGGAGAACAATATGGAGGTTCCTCAAAGATCTACAAATAGAACTACCATTTGATCCAGCAATCCCACTTCTGGGTATTTACCCGAGAGACAGGAGAACGCTCAGCCAGAAAAGTGCTTGCACATCAATGTTTATTGCAGCATTATTCACAATTGCCAAGACATGGAACCAGCCTAAATGTCCACAAACTGATGAATAGATTGGAAAAGTGTGGTATATATACTCTATGGAATACTACTCAGCCATAAAAAATAACAAGACCCTGGAATTTGATAGAAAGTGGTCAGAAATGGAGGATCTATTGCTGAGTGAAGTAAGCCAGGCTATGAAAGAAAGATATTGTATGTATCCACTCAATATATACCGACTATCCACACTCTATGGTAGAGAGCAAAAAATTGGAGGACGTAAAAGCACTGAAGGTACTTAACGAGAATAAGATAGTGTAGAATAGGGGTGGTGAAGAGAAGAGGATAGAGAAAGATAGCAAGAGAACAATAGAGAGGCAGGACGTTAGTGAGAAGCAGATTTGACTTATTACCTGTTGATGATGACATGTATAGTATTCTCAACTGGATTGGTCTGAGAAGTATTTCATGATGGGTAAAGTCTTTTTACAAGCAAAATGAGAAATAGTGATTGACTGTTTTAAAAAATAATGAGAATAATAATAATAATGATAGGGCACCATAGAAAAGTTATTGAATGATGAAGTAGGGAGATTAATGTCTCTGTATTGACTGACATGCATGGCATTCCCTTTTGAGAAAGCAATGTAATACACTGTAAAGTTATATGTAATCCAATGTAATATAAAGAAGATTATGATGATAATAAAAATAAAAAAATAAAAAAATTAGTTTGTTGCATCTTAAAGTCAGTTACATATTAAAAAAGGAGCTAACTAATCTGACTCAATATAGATTTCACAGGGAACAATTTAGTATTCTTTGTGTTGAAGACAGAATTCACTTTTTTTCTAAAGTTTCTTTTATTTATTTCTTCCATGACAGAGAGTTTGAGAGATCTCCAACGGGTCCTCATGCCATGAGCAACCCCCAGCCTCAGCCAGTCTAGATCATCAGCATGCCTATGAAGCATACAGGGAGGCTGCAGACAAAAACGTGGGACATTTCTCAGAATCTGCTTTAAATGGGCTGTATAAAGATATAAAAAGTGCTCTTCTGGGACCAGTAGATGGCATAATTGTTATATCACTGGCCTCTCAAGTGATTGACTTTGGTTTGAGTTCCAGACTTGGCTATTTAAACTCGTGCCAGGCACCTAACATGTGTGCCCAAAATCCTGAGAGGAGAACGGAGAAGGAACTGCTGTGTGGCCATCCCTCCAGGAGTTGATGTCTTACTTTCTGTCTCTCTGTCTTCCATGTCTCTCCAGAAAGTGCACAAACCCTATCAAAAAATTTCTCTTCTAGGGAACCAGCACTTAGCGTAATGGCTATGTCGCTGGACTCCCACGTAGTCGACCGCGGTTCGTGTCCCAGACCCGGTGGCTTAAAACTCACGCCGGGCGCGTGTGCGTGCGTGCCCAAGATCCCGAGAGGAGAATGGAGGAGAAGGGATTGTGGCGTGACCATCCCCCCTGGGGGGTGATTTCTCGCTTTCTGTCTCTATGTCTCTCTCTCTGTCTGTCTGGCGAGCGCACGCGCCCTACAGTGAAAATCTCTCCAAAAAAAAAAAAAATTTCTCTTCTAAAATAATAGTGTTCTTTAACATTTATGAGTGATAGTTCATAGTTATTCTAGCTAATAAGATTGATCCAATAAATAGCCATAGAGTTGTTATATTCCCATATAAGGCATTAATACTTACGGAATCTGTCTTTTGTTACATTTATTATTTAGGATAATTTTATAAACAGAATAATGTAGTATCAAATATAGGACTGAGTTCTGCTATCTGTGTTTGAAATGAATAACTTATCAGTAAGTGTAACAAAGTCCATGGTTGCAATTACAACTCTGCATATGGTCTCTGGGAGAAGTTTCATAGCACTTACATGTAAACTATCTTTATACAACTGATAATAAAGCTACCATCATTTGAAAATTAAGGCAAGACATCTGACTAGTCAACAATTTTGTTTAGTTAATTTCATTTGAGGTCTCAATTTTAAAGCAATCACAGAAAAATTGTATGTTAGTAATTAGAAAATATGAGACCAGACTCTGTGTGGTGCAGTGGTAATGAAATGCTCTGTTATGACCTACATGGGGAGGGTCCAGGTTCACATCCATAGACCTTCCTGAATGCAATGGATATGCACATTCCCATGACTTGGGGCTAGGATAGGCTGGAGGAAGATTGTGGCATGAGTACTTTGTTGGGGTACTTTTCTCTCTCTCTTACCTTCATGGAAGAAAGAAATAAACTTTAAAAAAAGAAATACCTACTGAATACATCTCTTTTTCTCAAAGGTTGGATAAGTTTTAGAAATAATGCACTAAATAATAGAAATAAAAGGGAAGAAGGGTGAACACATGTTTGATCCAGTCCTTTATCTGTCACTATCAACACTAAATCACTCAACGTAAACCAGGAGTAGTTCATTTTTTGTGTGTTAGCTTTTAATTCAAACATGTAATTTTTGGACTGAAAATATGATTGTTTGTTTTGCTTTGATTATGTAGAATAAATGAGAAGTCCCAAGAAAAATATTGTTCTATATTTATTGCACTTGTCAGCATATCAACAGTTTAACATACAAGCACATGCAGTAAATGCCATAAGAAATTTTCCTACCCAAATCATTGATTTTCAGGTTAATTCTACTCTAGTTTCATGCAAATGAGGTATTTGGAGTGATGGGATCAGAGGCCAGTAGAAAACAATTTGCATCTCTCAGTCTTAGTTTATGTGGAAATTGCACTTAATAGCAATCCAATCTTGTTTTCACATCTAGCTATTCGTGTGATAGTACCTCGTTGAATATTGATTTAATAAATTGACAGTGATTAAAAATGGGCTGAATCTGGACCAGTAGTTAGCGTAATTGCTATGTCTCTGAACTCCTATGTAGCCGACAGCGGTTCGAGTCACGGACTCGGTGCCTTATACTCACGCTGGGCGCATGTGCTTGCACACCCAAGATCCCAAGAGAAGAATGGAGGAGAAGGGATTGCAGCGTGGCCATTCCCCCCTCGGGGGTGATTTCTCACTTTCTATCTCTCTGTGTCTCTCTGTCTTTCTGGAAAGCACACATGCTCTATAGCAAAAACCTCTCCAAAAAAAAAAGAAAAAAGAAAAGGGCTGAATCGATATCATTATAATGGACAATGCCAGCTTATAAATAAAGAAGCAAAAGTCATAGTTACTTGTTACATAGAAGCTTTTACAACAATCAGGATAGTAAAAATAATAAAGCTTATTAACAGGTAATAAAGGCAAGTAAAAACATATAATAGATATTACAAAACGCATATACAAATTAATCATCTCAGTGAGATAATGTTCAGTTTTGTTCAATTCATATCAAGTGCATGCATTTCAACGTCTTTTTTTGGCTTGATTTATGCTAGATGGTATGCATACCTAGAGATTTAGGAAACCCCTGACCTTGTGGAAATGACTGCGTATTAAAGAAGTAGGAAGCCAGAGCCAGCATGTGGCATTGTGGTTAAGGGTGCAGGACTCCCACACAGTTGACTGTAGTTTGAGCCACCTAGTGGCTCACTTTTTCACATTCTCTCTCTCCCTCTATATATATCTTTCTCTGGTAAAATAAAAATAATAATAATGATAAATAAATTTAAATAAAATTATTCTTTGAAAAAAAAAAGCAAGAAGTCACAGAAACTTGAATGAAAAAAACATAATCTTTATAAGGGTAATAGAATTGTATGGTCAAGAGAGGACATTTAGCTGACCAACCACCGAAACACAAATTAAATAACTGGCATTACCTTAATGAATTGCCTCAGTCTAATTTTTTTTTTTTAGAATTTTTTTTTCTTTAGGGCATGTGCACTTGCCAGAAAGACAAAGAGAGACGGAAAGCGAGAAATCACTCCCCAAAAGGGATGGCCATGCCGCAATCCTTTCTCCTCCATTCTCCTCTCGGTATCTTGGGGATGCATGCACATGTGCCCAGTGTGAGTTTAAGCCACTGGGTCCGAGACTGGAACTGCAGTCAACTACATGGGAGTCCAGCGACATAGCCATTACACCAACCGTTGGTCCCCTAAATTTTGACATATTCACTCACAGACTCAGAAATCCCAATTGTTGTTAATTTCAAGAAACTAAAAGAAGAAATTTGCCAAATTACATTGAAAAATATAGCTGTCAAACAAATCAAAGATCCCAGCATCATAATTAGAACAGAATCCAAATTATTAGTGAAGGGGTTTGGATAATCTGTGTCAAAGTTAAAAAGTTCTGATTAGTTGATTGCTAATACAAGACAGAAAGAAAACTAGATATTTAGAAATGAAATGATTAGATCATGAATATGAACATGTTTTGATAAGTACAGAAAATATCTCTCTAAAAATTATTCAGTAAGTTTTGACACAACAGAGATTTGATGTCTCCAAACTTTATCCTTTTGTTTCATTCTTTAATAGTCTAGTAGTGCAGATGACAGTTTTCACTTGTTTTATTTTGCAGCTTTGTGTCACAGTTTTTTTCCTATTAGATGAAATTTTTTAAATTTTTGTTTACCATTTTCATATATATTTTTTTCCTTTTTATTGCCAGAAGATTTGTCCTCT